TAAACCAGAACTGAACCAGGTCTAAACCAGGTCTAAATTCTAAACCAGGTCCAAACCAGGTCTAAACCAGGTCTAAATTCTAATCCAGGTCTAAACCAGGTCTAAACCAGATCTAAATTCTAAACCAGGTCTAAACCAGGTCTAAACCAGGTCTAAACCAGATATAAATTCTAATCCAGGTCTAAACCAGGTCTAAACCAGGTCTAAACCAGATCTAAATTCTAAACCAGGTCTAAACCAGGTCTAAACCAGATCTAAACCAGGTCTAAACCAGGTCTAAACTAGATCTAAATTCTAATCCAGGTCTAAACCAGGTCTAAACCAGATCTAAATTCTAAACCAGGTCTAAACCAGGTCTAAACCAGGTCTAAACCAGGTCTCACCGATGCGGTACTTGAGGAGCAGGTCCCAGATTCCTCGGCGGGCGAAGGGGTCGACGCCGGCGGTGGGCTCGTCCAGGATGACCACTTTGGCTCCGCCCACGAAGGCCAGGGCCACGCTGAGCTTCCTCTGCATGCCCCCGGAGAGGGCGCTGGTCCGGGCCGAGCGCTTGTGAGGAAGACCCGTGTCCCGCAGGATCTGCTCCATCTCAGACCGGACCTGGACCTCGGACAGGCCTTTGAGACGAGCGTAGAACCAGATGTGCTCCTCCACCGTCAGCCTGGGCACAGAGACCAGGGTCAGGGCGGGAAGGAAGGACTAGACTCGGACTAGACTCGGACTAGACTCGGACTAGACTCGGACTAGACTCGGACTAGACTCGGACTAGACTCAGACTAAGCTCGGACTAAGCTCGGACTAAACTCGGACTAAGCTCGGACTAAGCTCGGACTAAGCTCGGACTAAACTCGGACTAGACTCGGACTAGACTCGGACTAAACTCGGACTAAGCTCGGACTAAGCTCGGACTAAACTCGGACTAAACTCGGACTAAACCAGCGGTAAAACGAGACTAAATTAGGGCTAAAATGGGCTAAGGAGGTGGTAAAGAAGGACTAAAGAAGGACTAAAGAAGGACTAAAGAAGGACCCAACCAGGACCCAACCAGGACCCAACAAGGTCTAAACTAGGACTCTATCAGGACTCAAGAAAAACTCCAAGGAGGACTCAAGCAGGACCAAAGCAAGACTCAACCAGGACTAAAGCAGGACTCAATCAGGACTAAAGAAGGACTCAACCAGGACCAAAGCAGGACTAAAGCAGGACTCAAGCAGGAATAAAACAGGACCCAACAAGGACCCAACCAGGACTAAAGTAGGACTAAAGTAGGACTAAAGTAGGACTAAAGCAGGACTAAAGCAGGACTAAAGCAGGACTAAAGCAGGATTAAAGCAGGACTAAAGCAAGAATCAACCAGGACTCAACCTGGACTCAACCTGGACTCAACCTGGACTCAACCAGAGGTAAAGAGAAATAAAGCATGATTAAAACAGGTCTAGAGCAGGACTCAACCAGGACTAAGGAGGGTTAGAGCGCTTACAGAGCTAAACAAGAACTAAACCAGGACCAAACAAGGACTATACCAGGTCTAAAACAGTATTAAAGCAGAACTAAAGCAGGATTAAACAACCAGTCTACAGAAGGACTACAAAAGAACTAAAATCTAAAGCAGGACACAATCAAGGAAAAGAGCAGGACTATAGCAGATCTAGACCAGGACTGGACCGAGACTAAACGAGGACCAGAGGTGTCTTACATGCTGAAGAGGACGTTGTGTTGGGGGCAGACTCCCAGGCTCTGGCGGATGGCACTCAGGTCGGACCTGATGTCTCTGCCCAGGATGTAGGCCGTCCCAGAGGTGGGCGGGAACAGGCCTGTCAGGATCGACCTATCAGAGGAGAGAGACAGATTTAAATCAACCAATCAGAGGACAGGATGTCAATGGTAAATAAACTCAAACTTTTTTGGCCCATGAGGAAAATGACTTGGAAAAACTCCTGCCCCCTGGTGGTCAAGAGAGAAAATAGACACTGGACTAAAACCAGGACTAAAACCAGGACTAAAACCAGGACTAATCCCAGGACTTAAACCAGGACTAAATCCAGGACTTAAACCAGGACTAATCCCAGGACTTAAACCAGGACTAAATCCAGGACTTAAATCAGGACTAAACCAGGACTAAACCGAGACAAAACCGAGACTAAAGCAAGACTAAAACCAGGACTAAAACAGGACTAAAACCAGGACTAATACCAGGACTCAACCAGGACTAATACCAGGACTAATACCAGGACTAAACCAAGACTAAAACCAAGACTAAAACCAGGACTCAACCAGGACTAAAACAGAACTAAAACCAAGACTAAAACCAGGACTCAACCAAGACTAAAACCAGGACTCAACAAGGACTAATACCAGGACTAAACCAAGACTAAACCAAGACTAAAACCAAGACTAAAACCAAGACTAAAACCAGGACTAAAACCAAGACTAAAATCAGGACTAAACCCAGGAATAAACCAGGACTAAACCAGGACTGAACCAGGACTAAACCCAGAACTAAAACCAGGACTAAAACCAAGGATAAACCAGGACTCAACCAGGAGTAAATCAGAACTAAACCAAGACTAAAACCAGGACTTAACCGGGACTGAACCAGGACTAAAACCAAGAATAAAACAGGACTCAACCAGGACTAAAACCAGGACTAAACCAAGACTAAAAGACTAAAACCAAGACTAAAACCAGGACTAAAACCAAGACTAAAATCAGGACTAAACCCAGGAATAAACCAGGACTAAACCAGGACTGAACCAGGACTAAACCCAGAACTAAAACCAGGACTAAAACCAAGAATAAAACAGGCCTCAACCAGGACTAAAACCAGGACTCAATCAAGCCTAAACCAAGATAAACCAAGAGTAAACCAAGACTACACCAGGAGTCGACCAGGATTCAACCAGGACTCAAGCAGGACTAAACCAGAACTAAACCAGGACTAAACCAGGCCTCACATGGTGGTGGTCTTGCCGGCTCCGTTGTGTCCTAAGAAGGACGTGATCTGTCCTTCGTAGAATCCGAGCGTGAGTCCGTCCACGGCCAGTTTGTTCCCGTGTCTGTAAACCTTCACCAGGTCCTCGATGTAAACGCCAGGATCCAGGTGAGCAGGCTCCTCCTCCATCACGATCACTGCACAGGAGAGGGGAAGAGGAGAGGAGGAGAGGAGAGAGAGAGAGAGGAGAGGAGGAGAGGAGGAGAGGAGAGAGAGAGAGGAGAGGAGAGAGAGGAGAGAGAGAGAGAGGAGAGAGAGAGGAAGAGGAGAGAGAGGAGAGAGGAGAGGAGGAGAGGAAGAGGAGAGGAGGAGAGGAGAGAGAAGAGAGAGGAAGAGAGAGGAGGAGAGAGAGAGAGGGAGAGGAGAGGAGGGAGAGAGGAGAGGAGAGAGAGAGGAGGAGAGGAGATGAAGAGGTGGAGAGAGAGGGAGAGGAGAGAGGAGGGAGAGAGAGAGGAGAGGAAGAGAGGAGAGGAGAGAAGAGGAGAGAGAGGAGAGGAGAGGGAGGAGAGAGGAGAGAGAAGGAGAGAGAGGGAGAGGAGAGAGAGGAGAGAAGAGAGAGAGAGGAGAGAAGAGAGGAAGAGAGAGAGGAGAGGAAAGAAAAGAGGAGAAAGGAGAGGAGAGGGAGAGAGGGGAGAGGGAGGAGAAGAGGAGAAAAGAGAGAGGAGGAGAAGGGGAGAGAGAGAAGGGAGGAGAAGGGAGAGAGAGAGGAAAGAGGAGAGAGAGAAGAGAAGAGAGGGAAAGAAAAGAGAGAGAGAGGAGAGGAGAGGGAGAGAAAGAGAGAGAAGAGAGAAGAGAAGGGAGAGGAGAGGAGAGGAGAGGAGAAGGGGAGGGGAGAGAGGAAAGAGGAGAGAATGAGAGAAGAGAAGAGAGGGAAAGAAAAGAAGAAAGAGGAGAGGAGAAAGGGGGAAAGGAGAAGAGAGGGAGAGAGGAGAGAAAAATGTAGAGGAGAGTGTGAGGAGAGGAGGAGAAGAGGGGGAGAGGGGACAGGAGAGGAGAGAAGGTGAAGAAAGGAGAGGAGAAGTGAAGAGGTGAGGGGGAGAGAGAGGAGAGAAAAGAGGAAAGGAGAAGAAGAGAGAGTAGAGGAGAGAAGAAAAGGAGAGAGGAGAGAGAGTAGAGGAGAGAAGAAAAGGAGAGAGGAGAGAGAGCAGACAGATAGAGGAAAAAAGACAAAAAGTTTAATCTGCTGAACACTTCCAAACCAATCCACCAATCAGGACAGAGCGGTTCTGTTCTGTTTGGACTCTGAGGTTCTGGACTCACCTCCCGGGTTCCTCCTCCGGTTCAGGGGGATCTTGGTGCCTCCGTCCTTCTCTCCAAACCAGTAGGACTTGGTGAAGGGGAAGAACCAGGGCCGCGGGATCCCGTACTGACCTGCAGGGGGCGACACAGCTCTGTTAACGTGTGTGGGAGCAGGTTTGAGGACACACCAGAAGAGAAAGGAAGGACTACGAAAAGAACAAGGGATGAGGAAAGAGAGAGAGCAGGATTTACCGGGCAGATGGTCCAAACCGGGTCCAGAGAGAAAGGAGCCAAAAGAGGAAAAAGGAAAAGTCTAAAAGAAAGAAAAGAATAAAAAAAGAAAGACTGACAATTGACAATTATTAAAACACAAGATTATTGAAAATTATGGGATCTTTGGATTGTGGAGACTATAAAAACCTACTAAAAAACCTAAAATCTAAACTAGAACTAGTACTTATTCCAGGTCTATCGCAAGTCTTAAATAGGTACAAAAATTGGTCTAACCCAGACCTAAACCAGGTCCTAAACCAGGTCTAAACCCTTCTTTATTCGATACTGTTAAGCACTTTGGTACTGCCTGTTTTTAAATGTGTTATATAAATAATCCTTGACCTAAACCATGCCAAACCAGGTCCACACCAGGTCCAAACCAGGTCTAAACCAGGTCTACACCAAGTCTAAAACAAGACTAAATGGGTCTAAATCAGGTAAACCAGTGCAGCACAAAAGGAGCAGTGGTTAAACCTGAACTAAACAGGTTTAAAACCAGGACTAAAGCAGGACTATTTCCATATATAAACAAAAACTATACCAGGACTAAACAAAGACTAAACCAGGACTAAGCCAGGTTTACTTCCATATATAAACAAAGACTAAACCAGGACTAAACCAAGACTAAACCAAGACTAAACCAGGACTAAAGTCTAAAGGTCTAAAAAGGTCTAAAACAGGACTAAACTAGATCTACTAAAACCAGGGACTAAACCAGGAACTTCCATATAAACAAAGACTACCAAGACTAAACCAGGTCTAAACCAGGACTAAACCAGGTCTAAACCAGGAGGTCTAAACCAGGACTAAACCAGGACTAAACCAGGAACATAAAACAAAGACTAAACCAGGAAAACCAGGACTAAACCAGGGTCTAAACCAGGTCTAAACAGGTCTAAAACAGGACTAAACTAGATCTACTTCCATATAAATAAAAGTCAAAACCAGGACTAAACCAGGACTACTTCCATATTTAAACAAAGACTAAACAGGAATAAACCAGGACTAAACCAGGTCTAAACCAGGTCTAAACCAGGTCTAAACCAGGTCTAAACCAGGACTAAACCAGGACTAAACCTGAAATAAACTGGCACAAAATCAGGATTAAACCAGGATTAAAAAACAACATTAATTCATTATTATAAATTTTTAATTGTTGTATTTGTAGATAGTACTCAATTACCAAAGTACTTGTCTAGAACTAAACCAGGTCTAAGCCAGGACTAAACTGGCACAAAATCAGGATTAAACCAAGATTGAAAACATGAAGTTCATCATTATTATAAATTGTGAATTATTGTATTTGTAGATGTCGTCATTTACCAGAGTACTTGTCTAGAACTAAACCAGGTCTAAGCCAGTCCCACACAGAAGCCCACGGTGGCGGGTCTGACCTGGGAAGACGGCCTCCAGGTACCAGGTGAGGGCGCCGTAGAGCACCGCGTCCACGTACATCATGCCGATGGTGGTCCTCAGGCTGAAGTCGTCCTCCTCCAGGGGGCTGCTCAGGAGGTTGGACCACTGGATGCCCACGCCCTGCTCCTCAAACAGCGCAAAGTACTCACAGCCAAACCCGAAGGCCACGGGGGACAGCAGGGACTGAGGACAGACAAGAGACCAGAACTGAGACCAGAGACCAGAACTAAGACCAGAGACAAGACCTGAGACCTGAGACCTACTCCTCAAACAGCGCAAAGTACTCACAGCCAAACCCCGAAGGCCACGGGGGACAGCAGGGACTGAGGACAGACCAGAGACAAGACCAGAGATAAGACCTCAGACCTGATACCAGAGACCAAAGACCAAAACCAAGACCCAGAGACCAGAGACCTGAGACAAGACCAGAGACCTGAGACCAGCTTCTCAAGCAGGGCAAAGTACTCACAGCCAAACCTGAAGGCCACCAGGGACAGCAGGGACTCAGGAGAGACCAGAGACCAGAGACCAGAGACCAGAGACCAGAGACCAGAGACCAGAGACCAGAGACCAAAGACCAGAGACCAGAGACCAGAAGCCTGAGAGAAGACCCAGAGACAAGACCAGAGACCGAAGACTAGAGACAAGACCTTAGACCAGAGACAAAACCTAAGACCAGAAACCTGAGACAAGACCCAGAGACAAGACTAGAGACCAGAGACAAGACCACAGACAAGGCCTGAAAGCAGAAACAAGACCAGAGATCTGCGACAAGGCCAGAGAAAAGACCTGAGACCAGAGAAAAGACCTGAGACCAGAGACAGGCCCTGAGACCAAAGACAGGACCTGAGACCTCACACCTGTGACAAGGCCAGAGACAAGACCTGAGACCTGAGACTAGAGACAAGACCAGAGACCAGAGTAGAAACCAGAGACCAGAGAAGTCCAGAGATCAGCGACCAGTCTTGAGATCAGAGACCAAAGACCAGGCCTGAGACCCGCTCTGAATCCTCCAATCCACCTTGTGATGTCATGAAGCAGTAGTTTTCACATTAACAGCTCCTTTAACCTTTAGTTCAACAGAGATCGCCAGGACTGAAAAAAAACCATCCAAATGATTCTAGTAAAGGTGTATGGTGTTTAAAAACACAGTGGAGCACTTCCTGTATCACCACATGACATCACAAGGTGGAACAGTGTTTCTGTTTGAGAGAAGAACTGTCTAAATCTGCAGGGTTTGTGTGTTAAACATGTGAGTGAAACAAAAGAAAGAAACAACATCATAAAACAGCGTAATATGTGTCCTTTAAAGATCACAAACTTAAGGTGAAGACTTCAAAGATCAATGAGGACTCACGGCGAAGACTTTAGCCCCGAAGCCGATGTAGTCTGACCAGGCCACACACAGGACGTAGGGCAGGTACAGGGTGAAGTAGATGATGCCTCCACAGGCCGCCGCCAGGTTGGCTCTGGCGAAGGCCGTACTGAGGAGGAAGCACTGCATGATGGTCACCACGGCGTAAGAGCCCAGGAACAGGAAGACCACGCCCGGGTCCGAGTACGGCAGCAGGTTACCCATCTACGAGAGAAAAGAAGTATTACTACAAGTACTATTATTACTGCTACTACTACACAAAGATCACGACCGGGTCCGAGTACAGCAGCAGGTTACCCATCTACGAGAGAAATGAAGTATTACTACAAGTACTATTATTACTGCTACTACTACACAAAGATCACGCCCGGGTCCGAGTACAGCAGCAGGTTACCCATCTACGAGAGAAATGAAGTATTATTGCAAGTATTACTACAAGTACTATTATTACTACTACTACAAGAAGATCACGACCTGGGTCCGAGTACAGCAGCAGGTTACCCATCTACAAGAGAAATGAAGTATTACTACAAGTATTACTACAAGTACTGTTATTACTACTGCTGCAAGAAGATCATGGCTGGGTTTGAGTACGGCAGCAGGTTACCCATCTACGAGAGAAATGAAGTATTACTACAAGTATTATTATTACTGCTACTACTACAGAAAGATCACGCCCGGGTCCAAGTACGGCTGAAGGTTACCCATCTACGAGAGAAATTAAGTATTACTACAAGTATTATGATTACTTCTGTTACAATTAGTACAAGAAGACCACACCAGGGTCTGAGTGCAGCAGCAGGTTGTCCATCTTAGTTCATGGGATAGACAATATTTCTGGATCACTTTGATGACCCTGGCGTGGATGTACTCTGGTGCTATCAGTGATTTTTGAAAAGTTTTATATTTTTGAAAAGTTGACAGACTTTTCTGAGTTTCAGCTGTATCGCAGAAATCAGCCTTTGAAATGTACAAACCCTGTGTATCTGTGTAAGAGGCAGAATTAGCAGAACTACAACTACTACAATAACTACAACAACAACAACTATAACAACAACAACTACTACAAGTACAACTACAACAACTATAACAACTACTACTACTACAACTACTACAACAACTATAACAACAACTACAACTACTACAACAACAACTAGAACAACAACTAGAACAACTACTACTGCTACAAGTACAACTACAACAACTATAACAAGTACTACTACTACAACTACTACAACAACTACAACTACTACAACAACTACAACTACAACTAGAACAACAACTACTACTACTACTACTACAACTACAACAACTATAACAAGTACTACTACTACAACTACTACAACTACAACAACAACAACAACAACTACTACTACTACTACAACAACTACAACAACTAACAAGTACTACAACTACAAACTACAACACTACACTACTACAACAACTACAACTACAACTAGAACAACAACAACTAGAACAACAACTACTACTACTACAAGTACAACAACTATAACAACTAAAAGTACTACTACTACAACTACTACAACAACTACAACTACTAAACAACAACTAACAACTACAACTAGAACAACAACAACTAGAACAACAACTACTACTACTACAACTACAACAACAACGACTACAACTACTACAACAACTACAACTACTACAACAACTACAACTACAACTAGAACAACAACAACTAAACAACAACTACTACTACTACTACAAGTACAACTACAACAACTATAACAAGTACTACTACTACTACTACAACTACTACAACAACAACAACAACAACAACTACTACTACTACTACAACAGCAATAACAATAACAACTACAACAAAAACTACTACTACTACAACTACAACAACTACAACTACAACAACTACTAACAACTAAAACAACTACAACAACAACTACTACTACAACTACTACTACTACTACTACTAAACTAACTACTACTACTACAACTACAACTACTACACACTACAAAAACTAACAGCTACAACAACAACTACAACAATATCTATAACAACTACAACAGCTACTACTACTACTACTTACTACTACAACAACTACTAGCACTATAACAACTGTAACAACTAAAACAACTACTACTACTACAACTACAATAATACAACTACAACTACTACAATAAGTATAACAACTACACTACTAGTACTACAACTACTACTACTGCTACTAAAACAGTAACTATAACAACTACAACAGCAACAACTACAACTATACAACTACAACTACAACTAACTACTACTACTACAACAACTACAACAACAATAACTATAACAACTACAACAGCAACTACTACTACAACTATAACAACTAAAATGACTACTACTACAACTACAACAACCACTACTACAATAACTATAACAACTACAACTACTACTACTGCTTCTACAACTATAACTATAACAAATACTACAACAACAACTATAAAATCAACAGGTACATCTACTACAAACAACAACAACAACTACTACTATTACCACTATCACTACAGCAATATCTTATGCAGGAAAGCAAAGTCCATCCACAGTATCTCCATGTACAAACTGCTTGTGCGACAGAAATTAAAATAACTTTGTTTATTGAACACTTTTCAAAACAACTGTTACAAAACCTCCTGAACGGGTCACTGTGTCAAAGGGAACATGCCAAAAATGCTAAATCAGCTTCTATGAGCAGCTGCTTTCTCATCAGGATCTTATATTTGGCGTGCACACATTTCACTTTTTTGTACCCCCCCTTTGTTCCTCGTGAGCTCCTTTTCTGTTTAGTGGTGAAAACACACACATGAAGTTTTTCACTGACCAGTTAAAGGTTGTATGGAGGATTTTTTTTTGTTTAAAATTGTCATTGAAAGTTTAAAATACCATTACAGAGACGCAGCAGCCTTTTAATTATGATGACCGAAAAAAAAAAGAAAGAATGAAAATCTATCAGTTGTGGACGTAGTGAGGCCAGATAAACATCAGCCAATAGAAAACGAGGCTCCCTCTTTTTCTATTGGCTGTTAGGTTGTCAGTCAAACTCCCTACATTTTTAGTGTAACTGACTCGTCGGCGCTCGGGGATTATGTGGTTTATGCAGCGGTTCTTTGAGGCTTTTTCAAACTGTAGTTTCCTTGCAATTCGCACAAAGTTTGTTGCGATGGCGGACGAGAATCCACGACCAGCTCGCCGCAAAAGAAAGTCCGAAGGGTCTAAAAACTGACGCGTCAGTCGCTAAAATATTTCTAGGCAGGTCACTTCAACAGTAATTCTGAACATGCACTGGATGTAAACAAATGTGATTTCTAGAGTAAAGAGGCAGGAGGAGGAGATGTTTCTACTGAGGAAGGTGGTGTCACACATGCACAACATTTGAAAAAGGACTGTCGCTGTATTTCGCTTCCCTTAAAAAATCCTCTATACAACCTTTAAATATACAGCTTGGTTTGAGTGAATAGCATTTGTTTTGGCTTTTAGGCTCTATTCACGCTTACCAGAAGACGTTTGGAAACATGCGGGTGACCACTTCTGGTGTAGTTTGCCAGACACTGGGCCTTTGATAAAACCATGGATTCAGCAGCAGCGGTTTTCATTCACAACCTGCCAAACCTTTCCATGGGGGACGGGACGCTAATCAAGTTTTCAGTGTTACTTAAAGGCAGCTGGTCGGAAATGTTGATCCGCCGAGCATAACAGAACTCTACAATGGCATCTTTTTTTATTTTATTAAGTTAGACAAATTATAATACACAAATTAATAGGTAATTTATAAAAAAGAGGGAAAAAAAAGAAAGAATACAATGACATCTACATGAAGAAAACTGGGCCATTTTCTCAGTTTTCCCAGATTTTGTTTGCTTGAGTTACTATCGCCAAAAGAACCCAAAGTGTTTCCAAATGTCTTCCATTGACGTAAGCGTGAATAGAGCCACTTTGGTAAGTTTTGTTTCTTTCTCAAATCAGACCAGCCTGGAAGACATAACTTTGCTCCCATCTACCTCACCGCTTCTTCGGAGTTTACCTGCTCCTCAGCCTTCCAAAAAAATTCTTGCCCCCCCTTTTTTGTTTCACCAACAAGTAAAAAAAAAATTTGTAAAAATGTAAAAATGTAGTATTAGTATATAGTAGTAGTATATAATCTAATATACTGGGAAAACACTTTATATATATATATTTTTGGTCACATAAAACAAAAAATAAATTAAAGAAAATTGTTGGTGAAAAAAAAAAAAAAAAAAAAAAAACACTTTGAAAATAACGTGCCTCTTTATTTTCACTAACAATTCATAAAAAATTAATACACTGGGAAAACACTGGCGCTCTGGAGTGTTTGATTTTACATACAGTAGCTGTAGTATATAAACTAATATACTGTACTATTATATAATATAAAACACTCTTGTGCTCTGGAATGTTTGATTTTATATATAGATTTTTCCGGCCACATAAACAAAATAAATAAATAAATAAATAAATAGCTGTTGGTGCAAAAAAAAAAAAAAGACAAGAAACTTTTTTAAATTGTTGGTGCCAAAAAAAAATAAATAAAAAAATAAAAAAATTACGTGCCTCTTTTTTATTTATTTATTTTTTTACACTTGCCGCTCAGGGGTTCCGTACCTTTGAGCAGTTTTATATGAACACTTTAAAACATCTCTCACTGACCTTGAGCAGCAGCACGAGCAGCCCCGCGCTCACCAGCAGAGGCACCAGGCTGCTGATGAACCAACTGAACCACAGCATCCCGTTGTTCAGGCCCATGATGCGCATGGTCTCCTTCAGACGGGCCTCCTTCTCGTACACCACACTCTTCAGGATGATGGCCACAGAGTACATCCACGCCAGGGTCATGAAGAGCGGCATGGAGCGGGACATGACGCGCAGGAAACTGGAGACAGAGGAGGAGAGGGTCAGAGGAGGAGAGGGTCAGAAGAGAGGGTCAGAGGAGGAGAGGAGAAGGTCAGAAGAAGAGAGGATGCAGAGGAGAGGATGCAGAGGAGCAGAGGAAAGGGTTAGAGGAGCAAAGGAAAGGGTCAGATGGAGCAGAGGAGCAGAGGAGAGGGTCTGAAGAGCAGATGGAGCAGAGAAAAGGGTTAGAAGAGCAGAGGAGAGGGTTAGAGGAGGAGAGGAGAAGGTCAGATGGAGCAGAGGAGAGGGTCAGAAGAAGAGAGGATGCAGAGGAGAGGATGCAGAGGAGCAGAGGAAAGGGTTAGAGGAGCAAAGGAAAGGGTCAGATGGAGCAGAAGAGCAGAGGAGAGGGTCAGAGGAGAGGGTCAGAGGGTAAGAGGAGCAGAGGGAAGGGTCAGAGGAGCAGAAAAGTAGAGAAAAGGGTCAGAGGAGCAAAGGAGAAGGGCAGATGAAGCAGAGGAGAGGGTCAGAGAAGCAGAGGAGAGGTCAGAGAGAGAGGGTCAGAGGAGGAGAGGAGAAGGTCAGATGGAGCAGAGGAGAGGGTCAGAAGAAGAGAGGATGCAGAGGAACAGAGGACAAGGTCAGAGGGTCAGAAAAGCAGAGGATGCAGAGGACAGGGTCAGAGGAGCAGAGGAGAGGGTCAGAGGGTAAGAGGAGCAGAAGAGAGGGTCAGAGGGTAAAAGGAGCAGAAGAGAGGGTCAGAGGAGCAGAGGAGAAGGGCAGATCAAGCAGAGGAGAAGGGCAGAAGAGCAGATGAAAGGGTCAGATGGAGCAAAGGACCAGAGGAGAGGGTCAAATGAGAGGGTCAGAGGAGCAAAGGATGCAGAAGAGCAGAGAAAATGGTCAGAGAAGCAGAGGATGCAGAAAAGAGGGTCAGATGTGCAGAGGTTTCACAGTGGCGGCAGTAGAAGCTGTGGACTCACATGTCGTCCACGTAGCAGGGGTAGGGCATCTGTTGTATGTAAACTCCGGTCTTCTCCTTGGTGCCGGTCATGGCGCGGACAATGCCTTGCTCAATAACGTCCTGGAGGTACGTGAACCCTCCCCAGATGTACCTCATGTCCTCAAAGGGGTCCGCACGAGGGCCGGGGTCCCAGTATCTGACAAACACACAAGAAATTAATGAATACATGAAGTATAACTGAAAGTACTAATACCGTTAGTACAATATAACTGTTATTCATTCAGTATTTTTATATTCTGTCGCACTAACCACCCCCCTCACAAAAAGAACTGCAGTAGTTGTAGTCTTAGTAGTAGCAGAAAAGCAGTAGTAGCAGTAATAGTAGTAGGAGTAGTACTAAAAGTAAGAGTAGTAGTGATACTAGTAGTAGTGTAAAGCAGAAAAGCAGTGGTAGTAGCAATAGCAGTATTTGTAGTATTATGCTGTGGTAGTAGTTGCTATCGCAGTAATAATAGTAGTAGTGGACAATACAAGTACTGTAGTAACAACCAGAGTACTGTAGTAGATGTAGCAGCAGTAATATCTGTAGTATTGTAAGCAGGAGCAGTAGTATTGGCAGCAGTATTTGCAATATTATCTGCAGTAGTAGTGACAGAAGCAGTAGTAGTAGTAGTAGCAGTATTCACAGTATTAGTAGCGCAATAACAGTAGTAGTATTTGCAGCAGTAGTAGTAGCAGTATTAGTACCAGTAGCAGTATTTACAGTATTAATAGCAGTAGCAGTAGTAGTAGCAGTATTTACAGTATTAATAGCAGTAGCAGTAGTAGTAGTAGTAGTAGTAGCAGTATTTACAGTATTAATAGCAGTAGCAGTAGCAGTAGTAGTAGTATTTACAGTATTAGCAAAAGTAGTGGTATTTACAGTATTAATAGCAGTAGCAGTAGTAGTAGCAGTATTTACAGTATTAATAGCAGTAGCAGTAGTAGTAGTAGTAGTAGTAGCAGTATTTACAGTATTAATAGCAGTAGCAGTAGCAGTAGTAGTAGTAGTAGTATTTACAGTATTAGCAAAAGTAGTGGTATTTACAGTATTAATAGCAGTAACAGTAATAGTAGTAGAAGTAGTGGTATTTACAGTATTAGTAACTGTAGTGGTATTTACACTATTTTTTTTTATAGTACTTATAGTCTTATATCTTATAGTAGTAATAGTAGTATTTGCTGTAGTAATAGCAGCAGCAGCAGTAGTAGTAGTAGTAAGTCCACTCACGCGTCCTTGATCTTTTTGATCTTCTCCACATAGCAGTACTAGTATTTACAGTATTAGTGCCAGTAGCAGTAGTAGTAGTAGTAGTAGTAGCAATAGTAGTATTGCAGTGTCAGCGGTAGGTGCACTTACGCGTCCTTGATGGTGTTGGTTCTCTCCACATAGCAGTAGTAGTAGTATTTATAGTATTAATTTTTTTGTAGTACTTGTACTTTTGTAGAACTAATAGCAGTAATAGTATTTGTAGTAGCAGTAGTAGCAGTAGTAGTAGCAGTAGTAGTAGCAGTAGTAGTAGAAGTAGTAGCAGTAGAGGCAGGCGCGTCCTTGATCTTGTTGGTCTTCTCCACGTAGCAGTAGTAGTAGTATTTGCAGTATTAGTAACAGTAGTAGTATTTACAGTCTTAGTTACAGTGGTAGTAGTAGTATTTGCAGTAGTAGTAGTAGCAGCAGTAGTAGTAGTAGTAGTAGTGGCAGGTACACTCACGAGTCCTTGATCTTGTTGGTCCTCTCCATGTGGCAGTAGTAGTATTTGCAGTATTAGTATTAGTATTAATAGCAGTAGCAGTAGTAGTAGTAGTATTTGCAGTAGTAGTAGTAACAGCAGTAGTGGGTGCACTCACGCGTCCTTGATCTTGTTGGTCCTCTCCATGTAGCAGTAGTAGTATTTGCAGTATTAGTATTAGTATTAATAGCAGTAACAGTAGTAGTAGTAGTAGTAGTAGTAAGTAGTAGTAGTAGTAGTAGTAGTAGTAGTAGTAACAGTAGTAGTAGCGGCAGGTGCACTCACACGTCCTTGATCTTGTTGGTCCTCTCCATGTGGCAGTAGTAGTATTTGCAGTATTAGTATTAGTATTAGTATTAGTATTAATAGCAGTAACAGTAGTAGTAGTAGTAGTAGTATTTGCAGTTGTAGTAGTAGTAACAGCAGTAGTGGGTGCACTCACGCGTCCTTGATCTTGTTGGTCCTCTCCATGTAGCAGTAGTAGTATTTGCAGTATTAGTATTAGTATTAATAGCAGTAACAGTAGTAGTAGTAGTAGTAGTAGTAGTAATAGTAGTAGTAGTAGTAGTAGTAGTAGTAGTAGTAGTAGTAGTAGTAGTAACAGTAGTAGTAGCGGCAGGTGCACTCACACGTCCTTGATCTTGTTGGTCCTCTCCATGTGGCAGTAGTAGTATTTGCAGTATTAGTATTAGTATTAGTATTAGTATTATAGCAGTAACAGTAGTAGTAGTAGTAGTAGTAGTATTTGCAGTTGTAGTAGTAGTAACAGCAGTAGTAGTAGGTGCACTCACGCGTCCTTGATCTTGTTGGTCCTCTCCATGTAGCAGTAGTAGTATTTGCAGTATTAGTATTAGTATTAATAGCAGTAACAGTAGTAGTAGTAGTAGTAGTAGTAGTATTTGCAGTAGTAGTAACAGTAGTAGTAGCGGCAGGTGCACTCACGCGTCCTTGATCTTGTTGGTCCTCTCCATGTAGCAGTAGTAGTATTTGCAGTATTAGTATTAGTATTAATAGCAGTAACAGTATAGTAGTAGTAGTAGTAGTAGTATTTGCAGTAGTAGTAGCGGCAGTAGTGCACTCACGCGTCCTTGATCTTGTTGGTCCTCTCCATGTAGCAGTAGTAGTATTTGCAGTATTAGTATTAGTATTAATAGCAGTAACCAGTAGTAGTAGTAGTAGTAGTAGTAACAGTAGTAGTAGGCAGGTGCACTCACGCGTCCTTGATCTTGTTGGTCCTCTCCACGTTGTCGATGTCCATGCGGATCTTGTAGTCCACGTGTGGGGGGAGCTCGGAGGCGTTCGCCGGGAGGTTGAACACGATCCCGGCCCAGAACTTCCGGTCCTCCAGAAGAACCATGGAGCGGTTCACCAGGAGCTCCTCTGTGGACACGGGCTGGAGCTTGTCCAGGTTCACACACTGAGGAGACAAAAGACCGAGGTCAGGGACGGACGGGAGCAAAGAAACCTCCAGAACAGCCACAACTGTTATTTAAAATCAACTTGGATAAACTGTATGTAGTAGAGATATACACAGTATTTGCCTTTTTTTGGAGCAGTTGTCCCCAACCTTTTTTGCACTACAGACCTGTATTATGTATGTATGTATGTATGTATGTATGGTTTAGACCTGGTTAAATCCTGGTTTAATCCTGGTTTAGACCTGGTTTAGACCTGGTTTAGACCTGGTTTAGACCTGGTTTAGACCTGGTTTAAGCCTGGTTAAATCCTGGTTTAGACCTGGTTTAGACCTGGGTATATCCTGGATAAATCCTGTTTTAGTCCTGTTTTTAGACCTAGTTTAGACCTGGTTTAGACCTGGGTATATCCTGGATAAATCCTGTTTTAGTCCTGGTTTAGACCTGGTTTAGGCCTGGTTTATTCCTGGTTTAGACCTGGTTTAGTCCTGGTTAAATCCTTTTTTACTCCTGATTTAGTCCTGGTTTTAGACTTAGTTAAGACTTGGTTAAGATCTGGTTTAAACCTGGTTTAGTCATGGTTTAGGCCTGGTTTTAGTTCTAGTTCTGGTTTAGTCCTGGTTTAGAGACTGGCCTGCGTGGCGTACAGGAGGAGGTGCGGTCCGTGCAGAGGACGGGCGTATGGAAGGGGGGGGGGTTCGCGCTTTCGCGGCCCGGTACCGGTCCCTGACCCAGGGGTTGGGGACCCTTGTTTTAGAGTATCAGCTTTAAGTCTCCAGCACAGGTAAAAATGTTCTTTGGCCCAACCAGATGATTAAATGTGCATAAAAAATACAAGTACACAGCTCTTTACACAGTTTGTAGTAAAACAAGGTTGTGGATGAGTTCATACGGTCATCAACCGCGAAAAAATCTATCAGTCGATCTGTAGTATGTGGCCCTGTCCCTATGCTCTTATTCTCAATTTCCTTAAAGTCTAAGTCAAAGCTCTTATATCTAGTTCCTTTAAATCAACCTAAAAACGTACGACGAAGGACAATAAACGACAAAAAAATTGTTGGAGATATGCAATCTTACAACAGTACAAAAACTGACAAAATGCGTCATTGAAATCGGAAGTGAAACTCGTGTGTTTGTCCAAATGAGGTTTCCAGTGATATTTATGCACATGTGTGGTTCCTTTTAATGTCCAGACAAACTTTATGAAACATGTAAACTGTAAATCTGACCCAAATAATTCACGTTGCTTCATCAGGTCATGTTTTTATGATAATATCTGATCACTGTTATCTGAAAAAATGTACTGCTGTAAATTACATCCATCACTGGTCTGAGCTTCAGTTTTGGTTCTTAAGTACAGCTGCTTGATTATGTGGAAATAAAATCACAATATAAAATCAACAGACCCCTGCCGGTCCAAAAAACTTTTTTGTTTTAGATTCTCTAGATTAGAATCCTGGATTTGGTTCTATATCTGGCCAAAATATTTGGGTCCAGATTTTATGCAAATTAATTAATATTTAGAGGTTACTCAACACACTTGAAAATTGAAACAAGAGAACCAAATAAATAACTCTTTGTTATTGATCCGTGTGCGTAATCTGCGTGGTGCATGTTCCGCAGAGGCGAGTTCGAGGGCTGTAGTTTTCGTTGCATCAGACGACCCTGACGATGACAAGGTTGCGGCATCATTGTTTCCCAAAAGCTGTGGTTTGTTTGTCAACACGACAACGCAACAGATTTCTCCACTCTGGAACCGTTCTCCAAAAACACTGTTTTCATCCACCCCGTTTTCGTCTTTTGTCCGTGTGGATAAAAGACTAAAATGAATACAAACTTCACCGTTTCGACCAAAAACGTTTGTCTGTTAGCAACATAACTCAAAAAGTTATGGACCGATTTTGATGAAATTTTCAGGATTTGTTGGAAATGTGAAAAGGAAGAACTGATTTCATTTTGGAGGTGATCCGGAAGAAATCCTGGATTCTGGATCACTTTGAAATTTTAGTTAACATTGTGGTAAATGGGGCCAAAAATCTGGTTTCTCAATATCTCGGTTAATTATTGACCAAACCCCATGAAATTTGACTCAGGGATGGACAATGGGATCCTCTTTCATATTCCAAATTGAAAGATACGACACAAATATTTATGGAAAACACCATTAATATGAGGGGGACTGTAGTCCTTGGCGGAGGTCTGCGCTCTCTGAGTGCTTTTCTAGTTAAAAATGTTTTTGGGAGATCAAGAGCTTTGAAGAAACTCTCCAGGAAGAACAGCTGATAGCTAAGGTCACTTAAAATAAAATCAATCAATGAACCTGCCCAGGGACGACAGGGAGAAATTAGCACTGGTACAACACATCTCTCCTGTTAAGGTTCATGTAAATTGTGCACTGTCCCTGTCTCATTAAATAAATAAACTAAAAAAGAAACACATTGTGCTGGTGGAGACAAAATCACTGATCTGCTTCCCTTCATAATCTGCTGGATTAAGGGCGTCACGTCGCTTTGGTGGAACCTCTGAACTTTCCTTCTCCATAATATTGTGAACCATCAGCTTCTTCTGTTCTTCTGTCACACTGGAGTCAGAGAATTCCAGGCCAAACATTTCTTCACTCAAGCACCAAAGATGTCGACCCAAAGCTGTTTTCACACCGTTACAGAAACTTCATGCAGCTTGAGCAACCTCTAAAACGTCTCCTTTTTCTTTCTTAATCGCCTTTTGGATGCTAAAACCTAATGCGGGTTTTCTGATCGAGGTTAACAGAATCGTGCTCTGACCTCCATGAAGCGGGAGATGCTGGCGATGGCCTGGTCCGTCTCGTTGAACACGTCTCTCCAGGTCAGAGCGCCCCCTGTGGACTCTTCCTTTTTGGCCAAGAACCGACTCACGTCTTCCACCGTCCAGTCGGTGTCGGCCAACTGCGCCCCGAAATACCGAGCCGTCACGTTGTTACGCAGCAGACTCTGGAAGAAAGACCAGACCCATTTGGTTTAGCTCTGTTTTTAGACCTAGTTTTAGTCCTGGTTTAGTTCTTTGTTTAGTCCTGGTTTGAGTCCTGGTTTAGTCTTGGTTTAATCCTGGTTTTGTCCTGATTCAGCTCTGGTTTAGTCCTGGTTTATTCCTTTGTTTAGTGCTGATTTGAGTCCTGCTTTGAGTCCTGGTTTGAGTCCTGGTTTAGTCCTAGTTTAGTCCTGGTTTTGACCTGGTTCAGCTCTGGTTTAGTCCTGGTTTATTCCATTGTTTAGTGAAGGTTTAAGTTCTGGTTTAATGCTGGTTTGAGTCCTGGTTTAGTGCTGGTTTGAGTCCTGGTTTAGTCCTGGTTTAGACCTGGTTTAGACCTGGCATAGACCTAGTTTTATTTTAAGTCCCAATTAATCCTGGTTTGAGTACTGATTTAGTCCTGTTTAAACTGGTTTACTTTTGGTTTAGCTCTGTTTTTAGACCTAGTTTTAGTCCTGGTTTAGTTCTTTGTTTACTGCTGGTTTGAGTCCTGATTTAGTCCTGGTCTGAGTCCTGGTTTAGTCTTGGTTTAGTCCTGGTTTAGTCCTGATTCAGCTCTGACTTAGTCCTGGATTATTCCTTTTTTAGTGGTGATTTGAGTCCTTGTTTGAGTCCTGGTTTAGCTCTGTTTTTAGACCTAGTTTTAGTCCTGGTTTAGTCCTTTGTTTAGTGCTGGTTTGAGTCCTGGTTTAGTCCTGGTTTAATTCTAGTTTTATTTCAAGTCCCGATTAATCCTAGTTTCAGTCCTGGTTTAGTCCTGTTTGAACTGGTTTAATTTTGGTTTAGCTCTGTTTTTAGACCTAGTTTGAGTCCTGGTTTAGTCCTGGTTTATTCCATTGTTTAGTGGGTGGTTTGAGTCCTGGTTTAGTCTGGATTCAGCTATGCTTTAGTCGTGGTTTAGTCCTGGTTTAGTCCTAATTTAGTCCTAGTTTATTCCTGGTTTACCGCCGGTTTAGCTCTGTTTTTAATCCTGGTTTAGTCCTGTTTAGTCCTGTTTAGACCTGTTTAGTCCTGATTTATTCCTTTGTTTAGTGGGTAGTTTGAATCCTGGTTTAGTCCAGGTTTAGTCCTGGTTTAGTCCTGAATCAGCTCTGCTTTAGTCCTGGTTTAGTCCAGGTTTCGTCCAGGTTTAGTCCTGAATCAGCTCTGCTTTAGTCCTGGTTTAGTCCAGGTTTCGTCCAGGTTTAGTCCTGAATCAGCTCTGCTTTAGTCCTGGTTTAGTCCAGGTTTAGTCCTGGTTTAGTCCTGAATCAGCTCTGCTTTAGTCCTGGTTTAGTCCAGGTTTCGTCCAGGTTTAGTCCTGAATCAGCTCTGCTTTAGTCCTGGTTTAGTCCAGGTTTCGTCCAGGTTTAGTCCTGAATCAGCTCTGCTTTAGTCCTGGTTTAGTCCTGATTTAGTCCTAGTTTAGTCCTGGTTTAGTCCTGGTTTAGCCCTGTTTTTAGTCCTGGTTCTGGCCCTGGTTCTGGTTTTAGTCCTGGCTTTAGTCTTTACCCTGAAGAGGTTCATCTGCTCGCTGTTCTCCATGAAATTCCAAACTTTGGGCCTCATCTCGTCCCACATTCCCCCCAGGTCCCTGAAGACCCCGAGCTCCTGGAAGGTCCGGTTCACCTGGACAAGACAAACGTAAAATCAGGACACAACAGAAGAGGAGGAAGGGTGAGAGGGTGGAGCAGAGGACCTCACCTGGTGGATGATCTTCTGCGTCAGCGGGGTGTGGGGGGTGTAGAGGATCTGGCCGAGCAGCAGGGGTTTGATGGCCGTCCAGATCATCCGGGACATGGGGTTGGAGTCCAGGTTCTGCACCAGGCTGTTACAGTACGGGGCTGAGGGGGGGGCACAGAGGGGCATTAGTACCACTACACTCTAGACCAGGGGTGGGCAAGTATTTTTTCCATGGGGCCACATAGAAACAGAAAATATAGTGGAGGTCTGGGCCAAAATGCTTAACTCAAGTCTGCATAATATTAACTGTATTTCTTTATAAAAAGCAGCAAATATCATTGTTTTGACGAGCTGGTAAGACTGATAAGAAAAAAAAACACCTCTAAAATAAAATCAACGCAGCTTTAGTTCATGCATGAGGTGAAATGATGTAATACACAGGTGTCAAACATACGGCCCGGGGGCCAGATCCGGCCCTCCAAGACCTTTAATCTGGCCCTTGGCTGATTTTCTACTAAAATATTTTAATTATATTTTCTATTAAAATATTGTTAATTTTCTGTGGTGTTTATCACAGCAGCGTCTCCAGCGTCTCTGTACGTGGCCCCTCCCACCAGAGCAGCACAAATGAAGACTTGTCTCTTTCCAAACGCTCTTAAAGGACGATCGTTTTGACTGTTGACCGTGACACCCTCATCAGAAAAATGTCCAACATGAGAAAAGTGGAGCCGAGTGCAGGATTTTCCAAGAAAAATGAACTTATTCCTATTTATACAAGTTCATGTTAAAACATTGTGTTGAAATGGGATTTTCCTTAAAGTTTCAGGTTGTTCAAAATATTATAATATTTTGTAAAAGAAAGAGTTCATCAATAAAAAAATATTTCTGTAATAGATTTGTGTTTCTCTGCACAAATATTTGAACTTATTGTTATTTTTGGGGTTTATATGACATGAGTTTTCTGATCCGGCCCCTTTGGGATCAAATTAGGTTGGATACGACCCCCGGACCAAAATGAGTTTGACACCCCTGATATAATATGTTTACTGTGCAATTCCAAATGAGCTTAAACGGTCCGGTAAGAGTCGACCAAAGGGACGTATGTGATCTGAGAACTGTACAATGCCCAAGTCTGCTCTATACTAGTTCACCTTAAATGGTCACATTTAGTGTGACCGGTCTTTGTCTCAAGACTGGCCTTGAGAATCCTTTTTTATGGTCTTGGTCTCGTCTTGGACTCGAGCACATTTGGAATCGGTCTTCTAATCAAATCAATCAAATCAAACTTTATTTATAGAACGCTTCTCTCGCAAAAATGCAACACAAATCGCTCGATCTTGAAGATGCTTGGTCTTGGTCTTGGTCTTGTCTCGGACTCGAGGTCTGACACTCAACGGGTGAGATCATATTTCATTACGGTAAATGTGCAGAGGCTGCTCAATATCACTGCAAAACCAGGGAGATAATGTAACTGTAAATGTTATGAACTTGAAAAAAAACTAATTTGAAACTTTGAAGTTGTTTTCAATAAAGTGAGACTAAAAAAGTGGTTCTCAAACTGTGGGTCAGAGTCTAAAACAGGGGCACAGGAGTGTTTGCTCAGTCTATTTTAAGCCTAAATGAAAATTAATCAGATCAAATGGAGATAGATTTATAAAAACATTGATATAAATGTGTAAAATACAAATAAATGTAGGAAATGACAAAGATAGTCTCGATTTAGTCTTGGTGGGCTGCGGTCCCTGTCTTGTCTCGGTCTAGACTCTCAAAGGCCTTGGTCTCAATCCTCAAAAGTCTTGGTCTTATCTCAGTCTCAATCCTCAAATGTCTTGGTCTCGTCTCCGTCTCGACTCTCAGAGGTCTTGGTCTTGTCTCGGTGTCTGGACCCTGTGGTCTCGGACTTGTCTTGGTCTCGTTTAGTGCGGTCTTGACCCCAACACTAATCACATTTATACAGCACTTTTCTACTAAAGTCAATGTGACGTCACCCACAGCGTTCAGCTTTAAAAAGGTCCTATAATTACACAAACTTGACTTATGATTTAATGTTGTTACCTCCTCAAAAACTTCTTTCATTCACACGTTTGAGTAATTGCTTATTATTTATTTACTGTCTACATCCCCAAAGCTCAAAATGCTCTGTTCCACCTTGTGATGTCATCAGTGAGAGTAACAGATTACATGTACTGGAGTTACGTAATCAGAGTACAAATTATGAGTAACTGTATTCAGTTACAGTTACTGTTTCAGTGAGTGGTAATTGGATTACAGTTACTTTGTTGAAATAAATGGATTACACGGTGGTATTTACCTGTTTTCACTTTTTTTTTTTCTTTTTTTTTTTTGTTTGTTAATTCCACTCATTGCCGGACACTAAACCAAGTTAAAACCATGTCTCCTCCAAACCAGTCCAAAACTAACCTCTGTTTCAGGTTAAAACCACAACAACACTTTGTTGTAAACCAGGTTAAACCCAGGTCCAAACCAGGTCTAACCCTGGTTTAAACCAGGTCTAAACCAGGTCCAAACCAAGTCTAAACCAGGTCCAAACCAGGTCTAAAGCAGGACTAAACCAAGTCTAAACCAGGTCTAAAACAGGATTCAATAGGACTAAATCACGCCGCGTGGACCGTGTCTCCTCTTCTTCTATCAATAATATTTTTAATACGGTTCAGTAAAGTCTGGGCTTGTCATTGTCTTTTAACAGACAAAACATCTTCCGAGGCTTCTCTACAGTACAAACCAAGTAATCCAAAGTATTCAGATTACGTTACTCACTTTAAGTAATTTAATGGATTATGTTACAAACTACATTTTGGTGTGTGTAATCTGTAATCTGAAGGGAAATATATTTTAAAAGTAAGTAAAAGTAAGTCATTTTCAACCTTTAGTTCAGTATGAAATTATCCAAATGACTCTGGTGAAGGTGTATGGAGTTTAAAAACACTTAACATAGATCAGAAAAAAGTCTAACCACGGTCGGACTGGGACCAAAAAAACGTCCCTGGACTTTTTCCCACCATTCGGCCCATGTACTAAAATCTGTCTAATCTATTGTTAGAAGTGAGTTGAGCCTCAGTTAGTCCTCGTTTGCTGATGACGAGAGGGACGGGGGGATGACGGGGGGATGATGGGGTTATGGGGGTGATGATGGGGATCTGGAGGGGGTCTAATTGGATCCCAGCTGGAGCTCCGAGGCAGGGGTCAAAGGTGATTTAGGCAGAGGTTTGTAGAACAGTGGGGGTTCTTCTAGGACAGTTACGAAACGAGACCGAATGAGATCACAATGTAATCTGATGTCGGCTCTTCTCCGCTCTGTTGTTTTAACCAAATGAACCTGGTCTAGAGCAGAACTAAACCAGGACTATCTTAGGGTTTGTAATGTCAGGAGTTAGTAATGAGAGTATGTTAGTAATGCTTCAGTCCCCAGGTTTAGTCTTTGCTTCAATCCCTGGTTCAGTCCCTGGTTCGGTCCCTGGTTCGGTCCCTGGTTCGGTCCCTGGTTCGGTCCCTGGTTCGGTCCCTGGTCCAGACTCTGGTTTAGACCCTGGTCCAGTCCCTGGTCCAGTCCCTGGTCAGTCCCTGGTCCAGTCCCTGGTTCGGTCCCTGGTCCAGTCCCTGGTCCAGACTCTGGTTCAGTCCCTGGTCCGGTCCCTAGTTCAGTCCCTGGTTCGGTCCCTGGTTCAGTCCCTGGTTCAGTCCCTGGTTCAGTCCCTGGTTCAGTCCCTGGTTAATCCCTGATTCAGTCCTTGGTTTAGTCCCTGGTTTAGTCCCTGGTTCAGTCCCTGGTTTAGTCCCTGGTTAAGTCCCTGATTCAGTCCTTGGTTTAGTCCCTGGTTTAGTCCCTGCTCCAGTCTCTTGTCTCTGCTTCAGTCTCTGATCCAGTCCCAGTCCCTCATCCCTGGTCCAATCTCTGTCTCCGTCCCTGGTCCAGTCCTTGGTCCGGTTCCTGCGCCAGTCCCTCGTCCCTTTTCCAGTCCCTGTCTCAGTCCCTGGTCCAGTCTCTGTCTCAATCCGTGGTCCAGTCCCTCGTCCCTGGTCCAATCCCGAGTACCTGGTCCAGTCCCTCTCTCAATCCCTGGTCCAGTCCCTGTCTCAATCCCTGGTCCAGTCTCTGTCTCAGTCCCTAGTCCAGTTCCTCGTCCCTGGTCCAGTCTCTGTCTCAGTCCCTGGTCCAGTCTCTGTCTCAGTCCCTGGTCCAGTCTCTGTCTCAGTCCCTGGTCCAGTCTCTGTCTCAGTCCCTGGTCCAGTCTCTGTCTCAGTCCCTGGTCCAGTCTGTCTCCTGTCCAGTCCTGGTCCAGTTCCCTTGTCCCTGGTCCAGTCTCTGTCTCAGTCCCTGGTCCAGTCTCTGTCTCAGTCCCTGGTCCAGTCTCTGTCTCAGTCCCTGGTCCAGTCTCTGTCTCAGTCCCTGGTCCAGTCTCTGTCTCAGTCCCTGGTCCAGTCTCTGTCTCAATCCCTCGTCTCTGGTCCCTGCCTCAGTCTTTAGTCCCTGGTCTAGTCCTTAGTCCCTGGTCCGGTCTCTGGTGTACTCACTGGAGGAGTTGTCGTAGAGCTGGTGCGGCTGCTCGTCGCTGGAGTTGCTGTTTCCGAACAGGGCCTTGTAGTTACTGTCTTCGTACCAGTTGAGACTCTTGATCTGCAGACCTCCTCCCTCTGGATGTCCGCAGACGATCCGGGACACGGCGGAGTAAAGGACGCTGGGCGAGGACGTGGCGTTGTGCGTCAGGAACACGATCTCATTCCTCAGGTCCAACCAGGACTTCATCCCTGCCAGCTGGACACAGAAACACAAGACACAGGGGACTGTCAGAGGATAATAATGTTACTGGTATTTTAGAACCGAATAACGACATGTATCTGTGTATCATTCATTCATTCGTTTTCAAAATAAAACCAAAAATAAGAAAACAACAATTTTCTTCATTATTTGTCTCCAAAACCAAAACGAAAAAAAAAAAAAAAAAGATTTGTTTTTTTTTCATTTTTCAATCTTGTGTTTAAAATGAATAATGGAAAAACCGTTTCCGTGACTTAAACTGCCAGGACTGACTGGACTGAGCCAGGACTGAGCCAGGACTGAGAACCAGGACTGACCTGACTGACCAGGACTGAACCAGGACTGAGAGGAGCCAGGACTGAAGCCAGGACTGAGCCAGGACTGCCAGGACCAGGACTGAGCCAGGACTGAACCAGGACTGAGCCAGGACTGAGACCAGGACTGACACCAGGACTGAACCAGGTCCGGGATCAGACCAGGACTGAGACAGGGGCTTAGGCCGGAACCAGACCAGGACTGAGTCAGGGATCTGGACCGGGACTGAGACCGGGACTGAGACCGGGACTGAGACCGGGACTGAGACCGGGACTGAGACCAGGACTGAGACCGGGACTGAGACTGGGACCAGGACCAGGACTAAGACCGGGCCTGAGACTGGGACCAGACCAAGATTGAAAATGGTCCTGTTTTAGTCCTGCTTCAGTCCAGCATCTCAGTTTAAGTCATTTAAACACAAAATCAAAAACTGAAAAAAATGATTTATTTATTTTTACTTTTTTTTTTTTTTTTTTCATTTTGGTTTATTGGGACAAATAATGCAGAAAAATAGTTGTTTTAAAATTTTCTTATTTTTGGTTTTATATTAAAAAACAATATAAAGGACACTTAGGCCCCTTTTGGGTCTAATTTTCAGAGTCAGGCCGGTGGTCAAACTAGTGCGGAGAAAGTTCATTCACAATTTTCGTACGACAGGAAGAACGTTTGTGCACATTTGTGACGTGTGGGTGGGATGAACGTGACCTGGGCGTTCAGACTGAAGTCACATGTCAAAAGATCAGATATGTATCGGTTTTAGGAGCACAAATCCAAGTGGTCTGGGTCACATTTGTAAAAAAAAAAAAAAGATCAGATACAGGTCACATAGAGGTGAAAAAATCAGATTTGGGTCCCTTCAGGCTGCAGTCTGAACGTAGCCTTGGACACTGTCAAGGAAGGAAAATGAAACCTTAATACTTGTCAATAATTGAGTAATAGTCTTTTATTTTTATTAGTCATTCTGAAATAAATGTGACATCCCTGGTCTGAGTTTGTCAAACTGAAGAGGAGGTGGAGCCGAGACTGGAAATCCACCAAAATCTTAAAATTACACAGTGAAAAATGGTCAAACTCTGTGAGGAAGTGTCCCCGCTGACTGAGGCTCCCATGAGCAGAGTAACGTCATTGAGGCCAGCGCTAAAGTTTGTGTATGTGCGCGAGCCAGCACACGTCAGCTTTATTCTGAAGGAAACAGGAAGTGCACTGCCGCAAAACCGCCGACTCAGCTTTACTCTGAAGGGGAAGTGGCTGCGGCATCTGTTGTTGTTTTTGGAGCGTTCGGAACAGATTCTCGGGTTACTGATAGAAATTAAACTCTGGCACACTGACTTCGGCTCGGACCGGTGATGTCACTTCCAGCGTGTGACGTCACTTCCTGTTTCGTGTTGTCGAACAGCGAGACAAAGCATCACATTAATCATATTTTAAAGAAGTGCTAGACTTGTATTGCAAAATAATGTGATGACAAATTAAAACTATTTTTGGACGCTTAAAAGAGCACTTCTAAACTTTTCTAGGGTAAGCTCGGTCATTTACTCGTCTCCATTTCCTCGCTTGGAATGTACCGCAGTGTCGTATCCAGTCTATCTCCATGGAAACGACGTTTCTATCAATAAAATCAACTATAATGAAATGTTAGAAAAACGTTGAATGTCGTGCTGAACAATTCGGGCAAAGCAATAACATTTCCATGAAGCAGCAAAAAGTTACGCAATGTAGCTTTATGGTTTGGGTATTCAAGACCTGTCCAAGACCACAGGCTCCCGAGACCAGGACAAGGTCGAGACCGAGACCACGGCTCATGGAGACCAAATCGAGACCATCTTTGTCATTTCTGACATTTATTTGTATTTTACTGTTATTTTGGCAAATATAGACCGAGTCCAAGCGCCTTCAAGACTGACACAAGACCAAGTCCAAGTGCTTTCGAGACCGAGACAAGAACGAGTCCAAACGGCTTCAAGACTGAAACAAGACCGAGGCCAGGTGCCTTAAAGACCGAGACAAGACCAAGACAAGACCGAGTTCAAGCACCTTCAAGACCGAGGCCAGGCCCTGTCAAAACCAAGACAAGACCAATTCCATGCGCCTTCAAGACTGAAACAAGACCGAGTCCAGGCATCTTCAAGACCGAGACAAGACCGAATCCAAGCGCCTTCAAGACAGAGACAAGACCGAGTCCAAGCGCCTTCAAGACCAAGACGAGACCTAGTCCAAGCACCTTCAAGACCAAGGCCAGGCCCCTTCAAAACCGAGACAAGACCAATTCCAAGCTCCTTCAACACTGAAACAAGACCGAGTCCAAGCTCCTTCAAGACCAAGACAAGACCTAGGCCAGGCACCTTAAAGACTTTAGAGTCCAAGAGCCTTCAAGACTGAGCCCAAGCACCATCAGGGCAGAGACAAGACCGAGTCCAAGCATCTTCAAGACCAAGACAAAACTGAGTCCAAGCGCTTTACTCTCCATGCTAAGTCACTCCCCCTTCAGAGCGCTATCACAACACAATCAGTGTGCGTCCTGCTAATGAAACTACTGCACATCGTGTCAGGTTTGTGAAGGTGTAGTTTACTGAAATGTAGTTTTGTATCATGTTTTTGTATATTTATGTAAAATCATGAGCTTTGTACAGGAGCTTGTGGATCAATAAAGTTTGTCCAAGTCTAAGTCCAGACAGATTATTTGTTTATCAACACCGCGCAGCCTGACTGTAGAAAGTGCTGCTGTGTCGTTATCATGAAGTTGAAACACTAACTAAAAGATGATGTCAGTGCACTAAAACACTAAAACTCTTTATCACTGTGTAATAAAAAAAGCTCTGATGCTAAATAAACATTAGTGAATGAGATATGTCGTAATGACCTATTTGTACTAAATGCACGTGTGGAGTAAATCACGAGAAGAAATGGCCCAAACTTCAGAGGTTGGAAAGATATCAAATCAAAAAAAAAAGTCACATTCACAGCACAGAAATGAACCTTTCCTGAAGCTTTAGAATGACCTGGAGCTGTGTCAGAACAAGTACAAGAGCACACGGACTAGTACAACGCTATGGCGGTCCATTAGATTAGATTAGATTCTCTAGATTAGAACCCTGCATTTGGTTCCATATCTGACCAAAATATTTGGGTCCAAATTTTATGCAAATTAATTTATATTTACAGGTTGCTCAAGACCAGGGATCACCAACTTTTTTCCCCATGGGGCCACATTTTCACTCCTGACTGTGATGGGGTCGGGGTCAGGTCGGCAGTAAAACAGAATTGTTTGACCCTGATGACGCAGATTATATTCTCTGAAAACCTCCACACTTTCTTTACGTATCAGACAAACTACACGGTTCTTACACTGAACAAAAAAAATAATCGGTTGTCCACTGTTCTTTGAAAACTCGACACTCTCTGACAATTTTTCGTACTTTAACACTCGCTGTTATGCTGTCTTTAACTGCACTACAGAAGTCTGCACATGCATTTACTATCACTGTTTTATCTCGAGTTGTCAGATGATTAAAATTCACCGGCAAACGTAAATATGTCATATAATTATTGAAATATAAATATAGCTATTTCATATAAATTTTTTTTTTTTGTTGAAAAAAAATCAACAAAATACAAGATGCATGTTATTATTTGCCAAAAAGTAATTTAAAAAAACAGGCCGTGACACTTTTGAGGATTGCCTCATAGGGCAGTTCAAGTGGTGGGGGCAGAGGGGCCGGGGGCCGGTCAAAGGGTCGTGAAGGGCTGGAATCGGCCCGCAGGCCTTAGTTTAATGATACCTGCTCAAGACACTTGAAAATTGCCCTTTACGGCCTATACTATAACACAGCGTACCATATAAATAATTCAAATAATTTGTCATATTATTCCGTAAACACAAATGAAACTTGCATAAAAATACTTAGAAAGTCCATAAAACTTAGAAAGTCCAGCTCCACTGTGGCTTTGTTGGCGTCACTAAAGATGTGCATGTGCTTTTTGACACCTGCAGTAGAAACTGTTTCTGATCTTCATTGTTTGTTAGGCTACAGTTAAAATCTTGAATAAGCTCCACTCCCTTTCAGCAACATCATGATCGACGAGACCAAGACCGTAAAAAGTCTCGAGGCCGGACTCCAGACCAAGACACGACCTGGCACATTCTTTATGCCCGTCTGTGTTTCCAGTAAGATGGAAGAAGATCAAATCGGAAAAATAAATTGTGATTCTTTTTCCCCCCATATCACCCAGCCCTCGTATTAAAGGTTGTATAGAGGATTTTTTAAGGGAAGAGAAATACAGCGACACTCCTTTTTCAAATGTTGTGCATGTGTGAAACCACCTTCCTGTTCCACAGCTCCTCAGTAGAAACATCTCCTCCCACCTCCTTACTCTAGAAAGTGCATGTTCAGAATTACTGTTGAAGTGACCTGTCTAGAAATAATTTTGCGACCGACGCGTCAGTTTTTAGACCCTTTGTCTGTTTCGGTTCACGCAATCGCTGGAAAGAATCTCCAAGAATCACCTCAGTTTGGCTTTTCTCCTTTTCTCCTTCTCTTCTTCTTTCAGCGACCTCAAAAACTGACTTTCTTTTGCGGTGAACTGGTCGTGGATTCTTGTCCGTCCATCGCAACAAACTTTGTGTGAACTGTGAGGAAGCTACAGTTAGAAAAATCCTCTAAGAACCGCTGCATAAACCACATAATCCCAGCGCGCCGGCGAGTCAGTTACACTAGAAACATAGAGAGTTTGATTGACAACCTAATAGCCAATAGAAAATGAGGTAGCCTTGTTATCTATTGGCTGATGTTTATCTGGCCTCACTACGTCCACAGATGATAGATTTTCATTCTTTTTTTTTTTGGTCATCATAATTACAAAGCTGCTGCGTCTCTGTAATGATATTTTAAACTTTCAGTGAGTGCGTATACATGCACATCAGTAACCCGGTTATTAGCCATACCCCGGTTATGTCAGTATTCGGGTTACTGCGTTTACATGCGCACTGAGAAACCGGGACACTCATATCCGCGTATACATGATCAAATGGAGTATCCCGGTTTCTTGACATAATCTTACAAATGCGCAGGCGCAAAAATTAACTTAAATCAATTTCATAAACCAGGAAAAATACAAACCGTGAGCTCCTTTAGCATAAGAAGCTAAGGAGCTACGAGATCTCCCACAATCCACTGTGCAGATTCTTCATTAAAATCTTCTGCATAAATAAACTCAACTTTACAACATATAAACCATAAACACTATAGACACATCAGCCCGTTTGATCAGATAATTCAGCTGTGATCACATTTGTTTACGTTTTACAGAAACGAAACTTAAGACCGTTTGGCTAATTAGCATAAACTGTTAGCGGCGATAAAAACAACTCGCTCCTTGCGCCGCTGATGTGATCAGTTTCTTTTGGACTAAATGACACGACTCTGTGGATTATGTGTGTTATTTCTGTGACAGAAGAGGCGCTGATGATGGTAAGTGTGTTCCGTGCGTATAGAGTTTAGGAGATAGTTCATGTTTTAGCTTTTCAGCGTCACACGAGTGCAGGTCGTACGAGTGCAGATTGTACGTGTGCAGGTTTAGCGCAGCTCTTTATTTTACGTCATTTCACTCGTTTGGTCACTTTATTTATGTTGGTCAATTTATTTATGTCACTACTGTTGTGGTGAAAGGCTGGAAAGTGTCTTTTGGACGCATGCGACTCAACTTTATGTTGCAGTAACCGGGGTACTGCGTTACATGCCACAGTTACTATCGGAATAAACCAGCTACAGTAACCGGTTTCTAATAACCGGGATACTGCCATAACCGGGTTACTGAAACCGGGTTACTGCGTTATACATGCACCATCAAGAAACCGGGATACTCAAAAAACCCGATCATAACCGGGTTACTGATGTGCATGTATACGCACTCATTGACAAAAAAAAAAAAAAACTCTAAAAATCCTCCATACAACCTTTAAGTACTGAGTCTAGTTTCTTTGGTATCGAAATAGAGTTTAAAATGATCGTGACACTTGTTTGAACTGTGATGACTGAAGTGGAGTTTTCGACTGTGAGGCTTCATTATCGTTCCCGTCAAGGTCTACTTCTCCACTCTTCCATGTCCTCGCTTAACCCCACCTCCTGCCGTGCCCCCCGCCACCTGCCCCCTCCCCCGTCCCCGTCCCCTCGGTCCCTCTTTTGTCCCGGGCCTGTCCCTAAATCACGGCGGGGGCCTCGCGTGTTGCTCCGAGTCCAGCTGGGTCCAGGCTCCACAAACACTCGGACGGCACGGAGGAGTGGACGGCGGCCAGATGCACCCGAAGACCCCGAACTTCACGACATCAGAACGAGCAGCCCGGAGACAGGGAATTCAACCCACAACCCTCCCCGCGGCGAGAGGCGAGCGGCGGAAAGAGACCAGCTCAAAGGCACCAAGGCAGCCGATAAGACGAGCGGGGAATTCAACTCCGTTTCTTTGTAAAGACTTAGAATCTATGAGCAGCTTTCACTCCAGAGTTACAGTATAAAACCAGGACTAAACCAGGACTAAACCAGGACTAAACCAGGTCTAAACCAGGTCTAAACCAGGACTAAACCAGGTCTAAACCAGGACTAAACCAGGACTTCTAAACCAGGACTAAACCAGGTCTAAACCAGGTCTAAAACCAGGACTAAACCAGGTCTAAACCAGGTCTAAACCAGGACTAAACCAGGACTAAACCAGGACTAAACCAGGTCTAAACCAGGTCTAAAACCAGGACTAAACCAGGTCTAAACCAGGACTAAACCAGGACTAAACCAGGACCTCTAAACCAGGACTAAACCAGGTCTAAACCAGGTCCTAAACCAGGAACTAAACCAGGACTAAACCAGGCAGGTCTAAAACCAGGTCTAAACCAGGACTAAACCAGGACTAAACCAGGACTAAACCAGGACTAAACCAGGTCTAAAACCAGGACTTCTAAACCAGGACTAAACCAGGTCTAAACCAGGTCTAAACCAGGACTAAACCAGGTCTAAACCAGGTCTAAACCAGGTCTAAACCAGGACTAAACCAGGACTAAACCAGGTCTAAACCAGGACTAAACTAAACCAGGTCTAAACCAGGACTAAAACCAGGTCTAAACCAGGTCTAAACCAGGACTAAACCAGGACTAAACCAGGACTAAACCAGGACTAAACCAGGTCTAAAACAGGACTAAACCAGGACTAAACCAGGACTAAACCAGGTCTGAACCAGGACTAAATCAGGACTAAACCAGATTAAACCTAAACTAAATCAGGTCTAAACAAGGCTAAACTGGTCCAAACCAGGTCCAAAACAGGTCAAACCAGGTTCAAACCAGGACTAAACCAGGACTAAACCAGGTCTAAACCAGGACTAAATCAGGACTGAACCAATATTAAACCAAAACTAAATCAGGTCTAAACAAGGTCCAAACCAGGTCTAAACCAGAGCTAAAAAGGGGCTAAACCAGGACTAAGCCAGGACTAAGCCAGGACTAAGCCAGGACTAAACCAGGGCTAAACCGAGGCTAAATCAGACCAAATTAGGTCATAACCAGGACTAACCTAGAAACAATCCAAGGAAAAAAACAGGTCTAAACCAGGACTAAACCAGGTCTAAACCAGGACTAAACCAGGACTAAACCAGGTCTAAACCAGGACTAAACCAGATCTAAACCAGGGCTAAATCAAGGCTAAATCAGGACCAAATTAGGTCATAACCAGGACTAAACCAGGGATAAAGAAGGCTAAAGCAGGACTAAAGCAGGACTAAACCATAACTTAAGCAAAACTAAATCAGGACAAAGCCAGGACTGAAGCAGGACTTGACCAAAGCTAAACCAGGGATAAATTAGGACCTTATTAGGCCATAACAAGGACTAAGCAAGGACTAAGCAAGGACTAAACCGGGACATAAACCAGGACTAAACCAGGACCTCCCTCCCCGTGTCACATTGTACTGTAATTGTAAAACACTGACCTCCACCGCCAGCAGGCCCATGGTGTCCAGCAGGCCGTTGGTTGCCTCGGCGACCCTTTTGACCGCCTCGGGGTCAGAGGTCATGTCTCTGTGCTGATAAGAAGAAAACAAGACTCAGCAATAAATTCCACCAGAAAAGTTACACAGAGCAGCTTTAACAACAACGTTTAAACATCCTGTATTATGACAAATGGACTCTTTAGGTTGAGCTTTAAACCGTGTCAGAATGTTGTTGCCTCACGATCAAAAACAGACCTGGAGTTGTGTTTTGTTTCATTCTCACATGTTTGAGTAAGTTTCAATCCAATCCACTTTATTTCTACAGCACATTTCACAAACAAACAGTTTCCAAAGAGCTGCACAAATACATAATAATAAAATAACAATAATAAGATGATAAAATAAACTACTAACATAATACTAGTCTTAAAATAATAAAAAAAACAGCATAATATTAAACCTAGACTAAACCCAGACTAAACCAAGACTAAACCAGGACTAAACCAAGACTAAACCAAGACTAAAACCAAGACTAAACCAAGCTTCTAAACCAAGACTAAAACCAGGACTAAACCAGTCTAAACCAGGACTAAACCCTAACCAGGGTCTAAACCAGGTCTAAACCAGGACTAAACCAGGTCTAAAACCCACCAGACTTAAACCTAAAAGTCTAAACCAGGACTAAACCAGGACTAAACCAAGACTTAAACCAAACTAAACCAAGTCTAAAACCAGGACTAAACCAGTCTAAACCAAGACTAAAACAACCAGGACTAAACCAAGTCTAAACCAGGACTAAAACCAGGTCTAAACCAAAGACTAAAACCAAGTCAAAAATAAAGTAATATGGACCCTTTAAATGTCAAAATTTTAAGAAGCATAAAAATAAATGCCACAGATCTTTGACGGAAAGATCATGTGAAGCAGAGCCACGTGTGTCACCTTGACGGGTTTGAAGAAGTCGAGGTTCTGTAGGAAGAGCTGCTCTGCCGCCTGCAGCCAGGAGGGCGGCGCCGTGCAGATCTTCTCCGTGAGCTCAGAGTGGACGTCGGGGTCAGAGATGGTGATGTAGTCGCTCAGGTTCTGCCCCCCGGGTTTGGAGGGGCACAGGTCAGTGAGGTGCACCCCAAAACCCTTCACCAGGACCTGGAGCGGCACAGAGGCTCGGTTAAAACTGTTAAAGACAGAACTGTACCCGACCAGGACTAAAACAGGACTAAAACAGGACTAAAACAAGACTAAAACAGGACTAAAACAAGACTAAAACAGGACTAAAACAAGACTAAAACAGGACTAAACCAGGACTAAAACAGGACTAAAACAGGACTAAAACAGGACAAAAACAGGACTAAAACAGGACTAAAACAGGACTAAAACAGGACTGAACCAGGACTGAACCAGGACTGAACCAGACTGACCAGGATTGAACCAGGACTGAACCAGGACTGAACAGGACTAAAACCAGGACTAAAACAGGACTAAAACAGGACTAAAACAAGGACTAAAACAGGACTAAAACAGGACTGAAACCAGGACTGAAGGACTGACTGAACCAGGACTGAACCAGGACTGAACCAGGATTGAACCAGGATTGAACCAGGACTGAACCAGGACTGAACCAGGACTAAAACAGGACTAAAAACAGGACTAAAACAGGACTGAACCAGGACTAAAAAAAACAGGAAACTGAACAGGACTAAACAGGACTAAAACAGGACTGAACCAGGACTGAACCAGGACTAAAACAGGACTGAACCAGGACTGAACCAGGACTGACCAGACTTGAAACCAGGATTGAACCAGGACTAAAACAGGACTAAAACAGACTGAACCAGGACTGAACCAGGACTGAACCAGGATTGAACCAGGACTGAACCAGGAAGGATAAAACAGGACTAGGAAAACAGGACTAAAACAGGACTGAAACCAGGACTGAACCAGACTGAACCAGGAATGACCAGGAACTGAACCAGGACTAAAAACAGGACTAAAAAGACTAAAACAGGACTAAAACAGGACTAAAACAGGACTAAAAAACAGGACTAAAAACAGGACTAAACAAGACTAAAACAGGACTAAAACAAACAACTAAAACAGGACTAAAACAGGACTAAAACAGGACTAAAACAGGAACTGAACAGGATTGAACCAGGACTGAACAGGACTAAAACAGGACTGAACCAGGACCTGAACCAGGACTGGACTGAACCAGGACTGAACCAGGACTAAAACCAGGACTGAACCAGGACTGAAACCAGGACTTGGACTAAACAGGACTAAAACAGGACAACCAGGACTAAAACAGGACTAAAACAGGACTAAAACAGGACTAAAACAGACTAAAAACAGACTAAAACAAGACTAAAACAAGGACTAAAACAGACTAAAAACAGGACTAAACAGGACTAAAACAGGACTGGACTAAAAACTAAAACAGGACTAGGAAACAGGACTAAAACCACCAGGACTGAAAACAGGACTGAACCAGGACTGAACAGGACTGAACCAGGACTGATAAAACAGGACTGAACAGGACACCAGGACTGAACCAGGACTGAACCAGGACTGAACTAAAACAGGACTAAAACAGGACTAAAACAGGACTAAACAGGACTAAAACAGGACTAAAACAGGACTAAAACCAGGACTAAAACAGAGGACTAAAACAGGACTAAAACAGGACTAAAACAGGACTAAAACAGGACTAAAACAAGACAAAACAGGGACTGAAACAGGACTAAAACAGGAGGAAAAACCAGGACTGAACCAGGACTGAACCAGGACTGAACCAGGATTGAACCAGGACTGAACCAGGATTGAACCAGGATTGAACCAGGACTGAACCAGGACTAAAACAGGACTGAACCAGGACTGAACCAGGACTAAAACAGGACTAAAACAAGACTAAAACAAGACTAAAACAAGACTAAAACAAGACTAACCAACTAACCAGGACTAAACCAGGACTGAACCAGGACTGAACCAGGACTGAACCAGGACTGAACCAGGACTAAAACAGGACTGAACAGGACTACTAAAACAGGACTAAAACAGGACTAAAACAAGGACTAAAACACAGACTAGGACTAAAACAGGATTGAGTGTCTAGACGGGCCTGCGTAGACCATCAGGTGACCGCAGGAAAAAGGACCGGCACAGAGTTCTCCCTCTTGCTCTCAAGTCCAAGATTAGTCCTGGTTTAGTCCTGGTTTAGTCCTGTTTTAGACCTGTTTTAGACCTGGTTTAGTCAGTTCTGGTTTAGTCCTGGTTTAGTCCTGGACCTGTTTTAGACCTGGGTTCAGTCCTGGTTTAAACCTGGTCAGTCCTGGTTCAACCTGTTCCTGGTTCAGTCCTGGTTCAGTCCTGTTTAGACTTGGTTTAGACTTGGTTTAGACTTGATGTGGTTCTGGTTCAGATCTGGTTCAGACCTGGTTCAGACCTGGTTCAGACCTGGTTCAGACCTGGTTCAGTCCTAGTGTGGTCCTGGTGTGGTCCTCGTGTGGTCCTGATTCAGACTTGGTTTGGATTTGATTCAGTCCTGGTTCAGTCCTGGTTCAGCCCTGGTTTAGACCTGGTTTAGACCTGGTTTAGACCGGATGTAGTCCTGGTGTTGTCCTGGTGTAGTCCTGGTTTAAAACGGGTGTAGTCCTGGTTCAGTCCTGGTGTAGTCCTGGTTTAAAACTGGTGTAGTCCTGGTTCAGTCCTCTGTTCAGTCCTGAGTTAGACCTGGTTCAGTCCTGGTTAGTATCGAGTCTCAACATCTACCGATACCGATTCTGGAACCGATAATCTCTCGTCCCTAATTACATGCACAGTCCTGAACAGAAGACCTGCTCTGGTCTGGTCCTGGTCCTGGTCCTGGTCCCACAGAAGACCTCAGACCTCCAGAGTAAAACGTGTGGATCTAATCTTTCATTTAATTATAAAGAGTGGACTTTTCCAGGATTATAGCCGCCCAGGATCAGGACTTTTCCCAGACTGTCGAGTCCCAGGATCAGGTTCAGGTCGAGTTCAGACCTGTCGTGGACCTGGCTCGGTTTGGGTTCACAGGCGCTTTTGGAGAGAAGAGCAGAATGTGGGAGGAACACACCTCTCAGGGTTACCTCAATGAACCTGATCTAGGTCAGGAGGACTTACTGGAGCCAGGACTAAACCAGGACTAAACCAGGACTAGAGCAGGACTAGAGCAGGACTAGAGCAGGACTAGAGCAGGACTGAACCAGGACTAGGGCAGGAATGAACCAGGACTAGACCAGGACTAGACCAGGATAGAACAAGAACTGAACCAAGCCTGAACCAGGACTGAACCAAGACCAGGACTAGACCAGGACTAAAGCAGGACTAGAGCAGGACTAGAGCAGGATTGAACCAGGGATAAACCAGGACTGAACCAGGACTGAACCAGGACTGACCCAGGACTGACCCAGGACTGACCCAGGACTGAACCGAGACTGGACCGAGACTGGGCCAGGACTGAACCAGGACTAGACCAGGACAGAACCAGGACTGAACCAGGACTGAACCAGGACTGAATCAAGACTAAACTGGAACTGACCCAGGACTGAACCAGGACTGAACCAGGACTGAACCAGGACTGAACCAGGACTGAATCAAGACTAAACTGGAACTGACCCAGGACTGACCCAGGACTGAACCAGGACTAAACCAGGACTGAACCAGGACTGAACCAGGACTGAACCAGGACTGAATCAAGACTAAACTGGAACTGACCCAGGACTGACCCAGGACTGACCCAGGACTGACCCAGGACTGACCCAGGACTGACCCAGGACTGAACCAGGACTGAACCAGGACTGAATCAAGACTAAACTGGAACTGACCCAGGACTGAACCAGGACTGAACCGGGACTGAACCGGGACTGAACCGGGACTGAACCAGGACTGAACCAGGACTGAACCGGGACTGAACCGGGACTGAACCGGGACTGAACCGAGAATAAAACAGGGCGAAACTAGGACTAAACCAGAACTGAACCAAAACTGAAGCAGGACAAATCTAGTGCTAATTCAGGGCAAAACCAAGAACTGAACCAAGACTAAACCAGGACTAAACCAGAACATAACCAAGACTGGACCAAGACTGGACCAAGACTGGACCAAGACTGGACCAAGACTGGACCAAGACTTGAACCAGGACTAGTCTGGCCATTGTAGAGTCAGGATCCAGGCCAGGAGAACTTAACTGGACTTTGGATAATTTGTCTTTTCTCGTTCACACCGTCATTGTGCTCTTGGGCCAGACACCTCCCTCTCATGTGCAGGGGCCCGGATTGTACGAGGTTCGGGTCGTACGGGTCGTTGGTCGAGTCGTAGGTCAGTTCGGGTCGTACTCGGGTTCGGGGTTGTCGGGTTCGGGTCGTACTTGGTCGAGGTTCGGGTCGTCGTGGTCGGGTCGTTGGTCGAGGTTCGGGTCGGGGTTCGGGTCGTACCTGGTCGAGGTTTCGGGTCGAGGTTCGGGTCGTACCTGGTCGAGGTTCGGGTCGTACGTGGTCGAGGTTCGGGTCGTACCTGGTCGAGGTTCGGGTCGTACCTGGTCGAGGTTCGGGTCGAGGTGGTCGGGTCGGGTCGGGTCGAGGTGGGTCGGGTTCGGGTCGTACAGGGTCGAGGTTCGGGTCGTACCTGGTCGAGGTTCGGGTCGGGTCGATTCGGGTCGTACCTCAGGGTCGAGGTTCGGGTCGTACCTGGTTGGGATTCGGGTCGGGGTTCGGGTCGTCTGGTACGTTGGTCGATTGGGGTCGTACCTGGTCGAGGTTCGGGTCGTACCTGGTCGAGGTTCGGGTCGTACCTGGTCGAGGTTCGGGTCGGGATTCGGGTCGTACCTGGTTGAGGTTGACCGGGGCAGACAGGATGTGGTCCACGCTGGACTGAGGTAAGGACGCGTTGGTCTTCAGGAAGTGGCTCATGGTCTCGTCCTCCTGCAGGAAGTGCTTCAGATGAAACCCTGGAGAACACAAGACAAATACTGAGACCTGAACCAGGACTAAACCAGGACTAAACCAGGGAAACCAGGACTAAACCAGGACTAAACCAGGGATCAACCAGGACTAAACCAGGACTAAACCAGGACTAACCAGGACTACACATAGCTGAACCAGGACTGAACCAGGACTAAACTAGGACATGACTAAACCAGGACTAAACATGACTAAACCAGGACTAAACCAGGACTGGACCAGGACTAAACCAGGACTGAACCAGGACTAAACCATGACTAAACCAGGGATCAACCAGGGATCAACCAGGGATCAACCAGGACTACATCATAGCTGAACCAGGACTGAACCAGGACTGAACCAGGACTGAACCAGAGCTGAACCAGAGCTGAACCAGAGCTGAACCAAGATTAAACCAGGGATGAACCAGGACTGAACTAGGACTGAACCAGAGCTGGACCAGAACTAAACCAGGACTAAAAAAGGACTAAACCAAAGCAGAACCAGGACTAAACCAGGACTAAATAAGAAGCTGAACCAGGGCTGGACCAGGACTAAACCAGGACTGAACCAGATTTAAACCAGGACTAAACCAGGACTAAATACCAAGACTAACCCAAAGCTGAACCAGGGCTGGACCAGGGATGAACCAGGACTAAACCAGGACTGGACCAAGACTAAATCAGGACTAAACCAGGACTAAATAAGAGCTGAACCAGGGCTGGACCAGATTTAAACCAGGGTTAAACCAGGACTAAAACAAAACTCAAGCTAGGACTAAACCAGAGTTAAACCAGGATTGAACCAGAGCTGGACCAGGGCTAAACCAGGACTAAATTAGGTCTAGACCAGAACTGAACAATCACTGAACCAGTACTGAACTTGGACTACACCAGAACTAAAATAGGACTAAAGCAGTAGTTCTAATCCACCAGGACTTAAACCAACTAACTAAACCTAGACTAAACAAATCCTAGACCAGAACTAAATCAGAACAAATCCAAACCAGTCTGATTTTCTGTATTATAGTATTTAGGAACTGAACTCAAAACTTCCCACAATTCACCTTGAAAAACAGTGCCCAAAATTCATCGCAAAAGTCGGAAAAACCTACAGCGGACGACGTCTTAACCTTAAAAAAACTTAAAGAGGACACAACCCGACCAGACGAAAACAGGAAAACGAGGCGCTGGTTTAACGACGCACTGTGACCCGTCAATTTAGATAAACCTACGACGTTTTTGTTTCGGAGTTTATCTCGGCTCGAGCAATTAAACGATTTATAATTTGATCCTGTGAGATAAATTGTACTAGTGTAAAGAGCGCACATGACTCGGTTTCATCATCTGTGTCATAATCCTCAGAACAAACAGCAAATCGTGACATCACAAGGTGGAACGGAGTGTTTTGAGTGTTGGAGATGAAGACAGGCTAAAGCAGAAATAAACCAGGACTAAAGCAGAGCTGAACCAGGACTAAACCAGAGCTGAACCAGGACTAAACCAGGACTAAACCAGGGCTAAACAAGGACTAAATCAGAACTGAAGCAGGATTAAAGCAGACTAAACCAGGACTAAACCAGGACTAAAGCAGAGCTGAACTAGGATTGAACCAGGAGTGAACCAGGACTAAACCAGAAATGAACCAGAAATGAACCAGAGCTGAACCAGGACTAAACCAGGACTAAACCAGAGCTGAACCAGGACTAAACCAGAGCTGAACCAGGACTAAACCAGAAATGAACCAGAGCTGAACCAGGACTAAACCAGGACTAAACCAGAGCTGAACCAGGACTAAACCAGAGCTGAAACCAGAGCTGAACCAGGACTAAACCAGAAATGAACCAGAGCTGAACCAGGACTAAACCAGGACTAAACCAGAGCTGAACCAGGACTAAACCAGAGCTGAACCAGGACTAAACCAGGACTAAACCAGAGCTGAACCAGGACTAAACCAGGACTAAACCAGAAATGAACCAGAGCTGAACCAGGACTAAACCAGAAATGAACCAGAGCTGAACCAGGACTAAACCAGGACTAAACCAGAGCTGAACCAGGACTAAACCAGAAATGAACCAGGACTAAACCAGGGCTAAACAAGGACTACGTCAGGACTAAACAAGGACTAAATCAGAACTGAAGCAGGATTAAAGCAGGACTAAACCAGGACTAAACCAGAGCTGTACCTGGGCTGAACTGAGACTCAACCAATGCTAAACCAGAAGTAACTCAGGGCTTAACCCAGAACTGAAACAAGACTAAACTAGGTCTAGACCAGAACTGACCCACAAGTGAATGATGACTCAACCAGTATTGAACCTGGACCACACCAGACCTAGAACAGGATTAAACCAGGACTAAACCAGGACTAATAATAAAGAGTTACTCCAACATGTGTGAATGAAACAAAACAACTCCAGGTTTGTTTTTGAGGAGGAAACGACATTATATATTTAAAAAAGTTTAAACAGTCACTTTTGTGTAATATGAGATTCATGAGGGAGGAGTTAAGGGCCAAGACTGACCAGGACCAGACCAGGACTAAACCAGGACTAGACCTAGACCAGGACTAGACCAGGACTAGACCAGGACTAAACCAAAGATAAACCAGGACTAGACCAGGGACTAGACCAGGACTAGACCAGGACCAGGACTAGACCAGGACTAGGACCAGGACTAGACCAGGACAGGACCAGGACTACTAGACCAGGACTAAACCAGGACTAGACCAGGACTAGACCAGGACTAGACCAGGACTAAACCAGGACTAAACCAGGACTAGACCAGGACTAGACCAGGACTAAACCAGGACTAAACCAGGACTAAACCAGGACTAGACCAGGACTAAACCAGGACTAAACCAGGACTAGACCAGGACTAAACCAGGACTAAACCAGGACTAGACCAGGGCTAGACCAGGACTAACCAGGACTAAACCAGGACTAAACCAGACTAAGACCAGGACTAAACCAGACTAACCAGGACTAAACCAGGACTAAACCAGGACTCTACACCAGGACTAAACCAGGACTAAACCAGACTAAACCAGGACTAAACCAGGACTAAACCAGGACTAAACCAGGACTAAACCAGGACTAACCAGGACTAAACCAGGACTAAACCAGGGAACCAGGACTAGACCAGGACTAAACCAGGACTAAACCAGGACTAAACCAGGACTAAACCAGACCAGGACTAAACCAGAACTAAACCAGGCTAAACCAGGACTAAACCAGAACTAAACCAGGACTAAACCAGGACTAAACCAGAGCTAAATTGGAACTGAAGCAGGACTAAACCAGGACTAAAACAGTACTAAACCAGGACTACACCAGGGCTAGACCAGGGCTAAACCAGGGCTAAACCAGGCCTAAACCAGGACTAAACCAGGACTAAACCAGGACTAAACCGGGCTACACCAGGACTAACTCAGGACTAAACCAGAACTAAACCAGGCTAAACCAGGGCTAAACAGGACTGAACCAAGAGTAAGCCCAGACCAAATCCGGACTTGTATACTGGTCCTGTATTGCCCTGGTTTAGTCCTATTCTAGTCAAGGTTTAGGTCTGAGTTTAGGCCCAGGGTAGACCCAGTTTTCATATGGTGTGTGTGCTACTGTGAAAACACCCCAAAACCAAGACCAAATCAGGACTATACCAGGTCTTAACCAGGACTAAACAAGGTCTGAACCAGGACTGAACAAGGGCTGAACCAGGACTGAACCAGAACTAAACCACAACTAATCCAGAACTAATACTTGGTCCTGTATAGCCCTGGTTTAGTACTGTTCTAGTCAAGGTTTAGTTCTGAGTTTAAAAACTGGGTCTACACTGGGACTAAACTCAGAACTAAACCCCAAAACCAAGACCAAATCAGGACTATACTAGGTCTTAACCAGGACTTGAAGTGGGGAAAAAACTGGCCTAAAACGGGACTGGAAAAGAAAGCCTGAACCAGAACTTGGGCCAGTGTGTGGGCATTGTCGAGCTACTTTTATTTGGTCCAATAGAAAAGCAAGAATAGCTGTTGCTAGGCAGATTTAAGAGCGCGGTCAGCCTCTGATTGGCCGAACAGCAGCTTCATTGTACCAGAGTTATTTACAGGACTATAAACCCTACAACCCTGCCACGAAAGGGGGTCTAGTCCTGGTTTAGATCTGACAAAGTCCTGGTTTAGTTCAGTCCAAGTTTAGTCCCGGTTAAGAACTTTATTTAGACCTGATATAGTCCTGGTTTGTTTATTTATTTAGGTGGAACTTTGAGTAAAACTTTCTTGCACCTGTGAACTGTACCAGGAGTGCAGTGGTGAGCGCAGTAGTGTGTAGTACTTTTGTCGTGGTGTTACTGCAGTAGTGAGCGCAGTAGTTGTACTAGTACGTGGCCGCCCCTCTGGTCCACAGTATCACGCAGCTCTGGTTACACTCTTTGTCAGAGTTTTAGCCTCATTTAACTCCCACAAAAGAGTTTAGACTGAAACTGACGACAGGCTAGTACTACTGTACAGGAGAGGAGAAGAAGAGGAGGAGGAGAGGAAAGGGGGAAGAAGAGGAGGAGGAGGAGTGGAGAGGAAAGGAAAGGAGGGGGAAAGGAACAAGCCCTAGTGTACAAGTGTAGGAGAGAAGAAGGGGAGAGGAGAGACGTGGGGTTAGGAGACGAGGTTAGGAGGAAAAGGAGCTAAGTGGGAGGAAGGAGGGATGAGGAGGGGAGGTTAGGAGACAAGGATAGAGGGAGCAAAGGGGGGAGACGAGGAGAGAAGGAGGCGGCTGGGTTAGGAAGACACAAAGAGAGGAGATAAAGAGGGGAGAGGAAAGGGGAATTGAGGAGGAGAAGCAAGAAGAAGAGGAGAGGAGAGGTGGAAGAGAGGTGGAGGACGTGAGGTAAGGAAGGAGAGAGTGAGAGGAGAAGAGGAGGGAGGAGAGGTTAAGAGGTTACAACGACGAGTTTAGGAGGAGAGGCGCTAAGCGGGAGGAAGGAGGGATGAGAAGAGGAGGTTAGGAGACAAGGAGAGG